AATATCCAAATCCACCATCAGACGAACATAAAGAAAAATTACAAAAAAAGCTCAAAGAATTTGATCAAAAAATCGAAGAATACTTAAACGGAAATCTAATAAACAAAAAAACTCCCATACAAGAAACAAAAAGAGTCTATAACCTTAAGAAAAAAGAATTTAGAGAACAAATCTTCAACTACATTGAAGAAGAAGAAGTAAATCCAGAAAACTTAACTGACGAAGAAATAACAACATACTTAGTATACTCATTAGTAATAGCAAATAAATCAAAAGTTAAAGCAAGCTTAGAAACATTTCAAGAAAATCATTCAACGTTAGAAATTGGTTAAAACATACTCAGTGTACCTATCAAGGACAACTGTCAACTATATTACCTGAATAATGGCAGCAGTAATAGAATTTGAACCACCAAAAAATTTAGAAAGGCTAACATCCTTAATATCAGAATTTGATGGAGCAATTGAAAAATATAGAGAATGGAGAAATCAATTAGAAAACGCATTCAAAGCATTAAAATTAGAAGATTTAATTATATTTGGAAGATACTCCGGAACACCTAAAAAAGGATACACATTAAGAGGAAGAGACTATGTCTCAACAGCAAATGGAGCAAATGAATGTAGATGGAGTACCGAAATAATGCAAACAGTATTTGCAATAGTAAGAACAAAATTAAGAAAAGATGCATTAGAAGTATTTGACATAGAAATAGCAACTATAAATTGTTATTTTAGATCTAACCTGGATAATGCAAATGATTTAAAAGATGCAGAAAATTATCCAATAAGAGGAGTAAACTACTTACAAGCAGCGGGAAACTGGCATGCTTCAGCAACAGCAGAAGGAACAAGAATAAACCCACATGTTACAGACGCAACACAACAAAAAGGATTTAGAGATGTATTTGATGAAAACTTCACAAGAGACTCAGTACAATCATTAAATCAAAAAGAATTTCTTAAATTCAACTTCTACAAGAATTTAGACTGGAATGATGACTCAGGATTGAGAAAACAAATCAATCAATATAAAAAACTTAAACAATTGTCAAATTGGCAATGGGCCCCAAATTTCTTTGGAGGAAACTACATGTATTTAGTAGAAAGAATGCCTAAAAACATAGCCCAACAAATTACATTAACAAATCCAGTACCAAATAATGAAGAAGATTTCTTCAGAAAAGCCGATGCTCTATTCAGAGCAACAAGAGTAACAATGGATATAATGAAAAAATCCAAAAATGAAAAAACAAATCATTATTCCCAAAGAACCCAAAAAATAAATAACGTACAGACAGAACAACCTCAAAAAGGAAAATGCTACTCATGTGGACAAATAGGACACTTTGCAAAAGAATGCCCAAGACGGAAAGGAAAAGAAGCATATAATAGAGTACAATCAACTTACAAAAACTATAATGGAAAACAAAAGAAAACCTTTGTCAGAAAATATTGTTCATATTGTGGAAGAGATAATGGATACCATACCAAAACATGTCCAAACAATAATGCTAACTATTACGAGGGAAAAAGAGCAAAAGGACCAACACCTATGGTTCATAAATACAACAACTTCAAAAACAATAGAGGAAAAGGAAGACCTCGATATAATAATAATAGAAACAATAATGGAAAAAGACCGCAAAATAATACAAGGAAATCTTTCACAAGAAAAAGAGTTAATAATTACAAAGAAGAAAAACAATCAGAAAAAGTATATAATTCTGAAAGAAAAAAAAGAAATGATTACAAATCTAAAGAAAAAAGTTCATATAAAAATGACAAAAGGAAAGTAAATCATTATGATGAAGAAAATAAAGAATATAACAGTGATGAAGAAATAGTTCATCATACTAAAGTTAAAGAAAACACGGTATTTCGATTAGGGAACCTGTGTAGTACTCAGGACAAAATCCCACAGAAAATAGGCCAAAGTAACAAACTACTTAGTACTAAAGAATATTATAATACTATAACATTTAAAGAAAGTATACACAATATACAATATATTAATGATGAAATAAATAAAAGATCGCAAAACAATCAATATAACAAATATTCTGCCAAATTATTATCAAATGAAATATATTGACAAGCCCAAGAAAATCCAGAATACTCTTATTTATTAAAACAATACTATTTTCCAAAAGAAACGTATAAAGCTCAAGAATTTCCTAAAGGCAAAAAATCATATGAATTTATAGCATTAATGAACGACAAACCTATTAAAGTACTCATAGATGAAGGAGCAAGTGCAAGTGTAATACCCTATAATGTAGCAAAAGAATGGAACTTGTTAAACGAACTTAACAAAGAGCAAACTAGAACTGCAAGAGTTTCAGGAGGAATGAACGTAACAAACTATAGCAAAATAAGAGTTAAACTCCAAATAGAAGATCTGATATTCTATATCAAAGTATCAGTAATAGAAGAAGAACAAGCATATATACTCTTAGCAGAAGTAGATCAAGCCCGAATGGGAATAAAGAAAAATAGAGAAACTCAAATTATAACAATTAGAGACATACCAATATCATACCAAGACATAACGACAGATATGCAAAAAGCGAACCTATCACACCAGTTTTACGACAGGAACCCGGATCGCACCTTGAACCTTACGATTAAAAAGGAGAGATCTCATGGTCAGCATACAAAATCTGATGAAATCATTCAACTTGATAACGCAAATCAGTCAAAATACATCTGATAAAGAGCAAATCATGTGCAGCTAGTTACCTTGCTCGAAAAACTAGTGACCCAGGCAAAAGCGAAAAAAACCTGCTGTTAGCACCCAACGTGGGTAGTAAAAATTTATCCCTGAATAATGTGTTGAATAAAACAACACTTATCCTTGAAAACAAAACAAATCGAACCCCTAACAACCAATTACATGTCGACAATATGATATTGGAAAAAACTGTTAAACCTAATATCCCAAAGAAGAAGAAAACAAAACCGCCCTTAGAAAGAAAACCTAAGCAAGAATTTTCAAAAGAAAATATAAAACAAAATGAGTCAACTGAGAAATGGGTAGATAAACAATATGACCCAAAGAAATGTAAAAGATTTATAATATATCTTTTACCAGAATCATTCCCTAAACAAGTTAAAAAGCTTAAAGAACTTGTTAAAGAAAATAAAAATAGAGTCAAATTAATTGAAGTAACAACCGACGATCGATGGGATGAAATAGTAAAAACTACTATTATAACCCAATCTAACATAGTACAAATATTCTTAAAATATTTGGATTCAGT